TTTTTGTTGCTTATGCGGGCTTGCTCCAGTGGGTGGTCAAATTTGAGGCATGTTTGTGCCAATCTTCGGCGATCTTGGTGCATTTTTGGGACATACCCTTTTCCATATTGGCACATTTCACCCAATGTTGGGGCTCTCTTGAGGCTTCTCGTGGAGGTATGTTGGAAGTGATTGGGGCCGTGGGGTCTAGATCAGGGCTATGTTGAAGGCTTTGCTGCTGTTATGTTTTGCGGCCATGTTGGTCCACTTGGTTGCTTTTTCTCTGCCCTGTTTGACTTGGCAGGTGGTTTTTTGCGTACTGTGCGTAAAACGCCATAAATCCATGAAAATGAGGTCCGACAAGTGTAAGAAAGGTGGCTTTGACAGTTTTGTCGTTTTTGTTGCTTACGAAAGCTTGCTCCAATGGGCAGTCAAATTTGGGGCATGTTTGCACCAATCTTCGGCGATCTTGGTGCATTCTTAGGGCATATCCTTCTCCATGTTGGCACGTTTCGCCCAATGTTGGGGCTCTGTTGGGGCTTCTCGTGGAGGTATGTTGGAAGTGATTGGGGCTGTGGGATCTATGTTGAAGGCTTTGCTGCTGTTATTTTACTTTTTTGCGGCGATGTTCGTCCACTTGGCTGTTTTTCTCTGCCGTTTGACTTGGGCAGGTAGTCTTTTTGTGTCATGTGCGTATAACATCGTAAAAACCCGACAGACTTAGGTCCGACAAGTGTAAGGTTATATACTTGTTTTCTCTGCCGTTCGACTTGGGCAGGTGGTCTTCTGCGTAGTGTACGTACAACACCGTTAAAGCCATGAAAAAAAGAGGTCCGACTACCCAGCAATAAAATGCAGCTGCTCCGCTTTCCGTGTTTTTCCGAACTGGTTCGCAGAGTAAAACAGGTTGCCAGGAAGGTGTGGCCAACTTGCTGGTTATAGCAGGAGCTGACACCAGCTGCGCCAGGCATGGATCTACCCATTTCGTTGAAGATAACGACATCTTCTCAAGGTAGACTAGAAGACATTACTCTTCTTTATTTCCCAACCTTATGAGAGAACATGCCTCATATGCTCATGTTCAGCAGCCGAGCAGCTGTGGAATTTCAGGTGGCCTTGAGCTGGCTGACCGGGAAGCCAAGCAGGCCAAAGAAAAACAAACACCTGCCGAGTTGGTCGACGGAGTCTCTGCAGTTCTCCAGCGGAATGTCATGCTTAGGAAGATGGTTACAGTAAGTTTCCAAAACAATCTAGGAACCAAATGAATAGCGCGAGCTATCCTGCGTCCAGTTCCTAGTAGCATACAGTAGCTTACTAGAGTGTCTTACTTAATTAAGTAGGTAGTCTCGACTTAATTAAGTGGGGGGAGGGAGTGGGGGAAAAAAATACAGACGAACATTGCATGGTCCACCATCCAGACCTGGATCACTGCTTTCTTGCCAGGTTGCAACCGTGCAGAGCTACTCTGCAGCGGCTCAAGAGCTTGCACGACAGTCCAACATCATGAAGCCGGGGCCAAAAAAGGGTTCTCCGACTCTGACACTTTCGCAACGTCGAAGTGAGGCAACGTCTCCATTTTGATTGTACTTTGCGCATTGGAGACGTTGCTGCGGAATGCTCCTTCGGACTTTTGCTGCGTAGCAAAGCAGTGTAGGGTGATTGTGCCAAGGTCTTTCTCACGAAACAGTTGGAATAGCACTGATGTCTGATGCAGTGTGTTTCCTTGGAGTTGTTTGACACATTTCCTTCAGCACTTGGGAGACACTGAACATCAGGACAGATCAAAGAATGATTGAGCCATGCCTGCATTTTGTCAGACAACCCGACTTGCTGTGCTCAGGCAGCGTGCCATGAACTTGGGACATCAGGCATGGATAGGAGATGTACCTAATGGACATGACATTGTCAACACACCTGACAGAACAAGCTTTGCCATGCTTTGGGCACTGAGCTACTTGGGCAGGTTGTTAGTCTGAGTTAAACCATGCTCTGGAGGCTTTTGATGATGCACTGTGTCATTTGGCAAGATGGATGCCATGACTCCTTCTTTCCATATCTACTAAAGTACATTCGTTCTGCCTTGTGAGGCAGTGCAATGGTGGAAGACTCAGGGAAACGACCCATTCCGCAAGCATGCTAAGGCCTACTGAGGCCATAGCCAAAGAAACATGGGACTACCAGTTCTTCAATTTTAAGGTAGCTGAGTTTGATTTAATTCCTCAGTTTTGGGCCAACTAATCCATATGATCCCTTACGACCTTACGACATACGGGATCCTTTGATGAACCAATCTGGTCAAAGATGGCAGATGCTTTGCAACAAGACGGTTTGTAGGCTGGACAGTGAAGCCGATTCTTCTTGTTCGAAAAGATTTGGCGAAACTCTCAAATTGTGTGGTGCCGGTGTATTCCATGCTGCCAAACGTTGGAATCTTTCCTTGCACTTTCCTTGCACAGCTGCTTCAAACTCAAGCTTTTTGCTGGCCCTGCAAGGATTTCTTTGTGCAGAGGGTACTGTATAGCTCTTTATTCGTCCTTCATACGCCCATCATGACAGGTTTCACTTTAGATCCTTCCATACAAGAAGCACGCACCCACATATGCACTGAGCATCGATTGCACTCGACTGGCTGTTTAGATTTGGCTGTGCTCCTATTGGCACGGCCGGGAGTTGGGTGCGAAGGCTACCAGGACGGATACTCGGATTAATCAACAATAGCAGTCCTTTTGTATTCTAGCAATCCTGCTTGTTTCCACTTGACAGACCACCAGGTCAGGGTCACACCGTGCGATGTGTAGATCTCGGAGCTAGGACAGCTGCGGCGGAAAAACACATTTTGGCACATGGAGAAGGTCAGTGGATAAGCTCCCGGCCGCTTGCCTTTGTCGGCTACGCTCTGCTGCGGCCTTTGCAGCTGCCTCGCTGCGTGGAGCTGGTCATGGAGCGCCCTACGCCTGAGCCAGAACCAAACGCTTCAGTCTCCCAATGAGGGACGTCGCCATGATTATATGCATACAACCCACTGACCCCTTGCAATGGTGGGGGAGCGCGCCTTCCGCCTGCAGCGACAGCTTAGAGGATGGGAAAGAGGATCAAAATCAAAGATCAATCTGGGAAGAGAGCAGACCTATGACCCAGACCCACCTACATCCACCTGCACTCTCAGACTCCTGACCGAAACTTGCTTCCTGAATATACAGGCGCAAGCGAAGGCAGAGCGAGAGAAGACGCAGACGAAGAAAGCCGGGAAAGTCCGGAAAGCGAAGACTCAGAGGGCTGAGGAAGATGGAAACGGAGAGGAAGATGGAAAAACGCAGGCAAGGAAGAGCGAAGAAGGCGGTCAGACTACTTTGCCAAAAGGAAAGCTAAGAAACCAAAGTTGCCGACGATGCCGGCGGGACTTCATGGCCTTGCAGATTGCAAGGAAGAGGCCTCCATGGTGTTCGCGGTGTCCACATCTCCGTCGGCCTCTGGTGCTGAACGCTTGGAGCTCCAAGTGGAGAACGGTGAGATGTTGAGGCCACAGCAGTTGGAGAAGATCCTGAAAAACAGAGCCACCTGTCGAAGCTGGAAGAATTACAGTGAATATTGAGTCAAGCCAATCATAAGTCCATGTGTCACAGCCTTGCTTAGTTGCGTAGTCCGTGTGACCTTCATGGTCTCATGGTTGATGGGCAAATTGAAGCTTAAGCTCACTTGTTTACTTTGCGTGTTGTACAAAGACCTTGTGGACACGTGCACGGTTTATTGATGTGTTCCCCCTTTCAGTCAATCCAGCTGCAGCCTTTGACAGCGCCCTTGCTTCAGTGCGTAGTCCCGTGTTCTTGGCTTAGGCTTCGCTGATGTCTGAGCTATGGCTCATTGATTGTCCAGGAACCGTTTGTGGAATTGGAACTGCGCATAGTTTGCAGCGCCCGTGTCTGGATGCTCTTGAAAGCAAAAACCAACGAGTTGGCGTTGGCAGTTTGGTCGACAGGTTGGATGGTCCCATGTCCTGCCATGTGCCAGGATCGGATTGAAGACTTCAAGATGATGGGGCCGGAAGAACAGCCGCGGGGCTTGTCGGATGGCTTGCGCGACCGGTGGGCTGGTAGGATGCGCCCATGACAAAATGCTTTCTTGTCTGCATTTTGCATGGTGATATGAGACAATCTCGTTTGTGGGATGGGTGGTTGTTCCAATCACCTACTACACTGTTTGCCTGTCTTCTACGAGGGCTTGATCTATAGTGTAGTTCTCATTAGTGTAGTTCCAAAATGTATCTCGTTCTCATTTACCCTTTCCAAGACCATTGTCCCAACATGTATCTCAAAATGGTGGTTACGTGAGTTACATGTTGGAAGCGGCAAGTTTTCCGAAACCTTGCAAAAAATGCTCATTTCTCCTTCATAGACATTCAGATTTTTCGTTTGCGCGCCGTTGGCTGGTGCTCCGGCCACTGACGCGGGCAGGCGGAGCTGTCACCTGTTCCGACATGGAGTATTTGGTCGTCCTATATTCGGAATTGGTAATGTAGGTTTTTGGTTGACCTGTCTGAGACCACCCGTGATGCTTCTTGTTTACGGACGCATTGACTTTAAAACTATACTGCTGGGAAGGCCTGTTTCCTGCATAGAAGGCACTCCTCAACTTCTCCGGTTGGGTGGCCCTTCGGCTTGTTAGCGATGCCGCCGATGGCCACTACTCGGCTCATAGACTGCCAGCAATCTCGTGCCAGGCAGGCTTTCGCGCGCCTTTGACGTCTTGAGAAGGCTGCGACAGCAGCTATTGACTTCGCGAGGGAGGGATGGTTACTTGGTTGTTGTTTTGTTCATCATTATTACTGTTTTAAAGAAATGCGTCTCGGGGTACTACGTGTGACATCACCAGTATATCACTTCAGATGTTCCGACGATTCCATCAAACATGTTGAATGCATCTGCGAAGTTTTGCTGACCCATTAAACACAGCCCTCATTGCCATTCCTTGCTTGGTTGAAGAACATGAAGTGCATGCGTTGCCAGCTGTGCAGAGCATGCCTTTGGTCCTACTATTGGCTTGGCAGGGGCACTGCCCAGCAGCGGTTGGATGAGCACGCAGCCAGTGCGGTCAACGATTTCAGTCCTCGACCCAAAGTGCAAGGGAGCAGTTGGCAGAACACACTTCTCAACGTTGCAGCGAGATTCACAGATGCAAACATTCCCACGGAGGGTTCGTGTCAAAGTTTGGCCTGGGGTCTTTGTTGCAAAGCGCAAAGGAGCAGCTGGACATGCATTTGGAGCATCATTGCCCAGAGCGTTTTGGACGCAAACAATGTTGCCAGTCATTCAAAACAAGATTGGGTTTCTTTAGTTTCATGCGTTCTAGTGCTCAGCAGCAGTTGGATGAGCACACGGGCCAGCGTTGTCCAGAGTTTCATAAGTGCAGCCAGTGCGGTCAACGATTTCAGTCATTGACCCAAAGTGCAAGGGAGCAGTTGGCAGAACACACTTCTCAACATTGCAACGAGATCCACAGATGCAAACATTGCCACGCGGGGTTCGTGTCAAAGTTTGGCCTGCTAGGGTAATTGTTGCAAAGCGCAAAGGAGCAGCTGGACATGCATTTGGAGCATCATTGCCCAGAGCGTTTTGGATGCAAACAATGTGGCCTGTCATCGGTCTAGTGCGCAGCAGTTGGATGAGCACACGGGCCAGCATTGTCCAGGGATTCATAAGTGCAGCCAGTGCAGTCAACGATTTCAGTCCTCGACCCAAAGTGCAAGGGAGCAGTTGGCAAAACACACTTCTCAACGTTGCAGCGAGATCCACAGATGCAAACATTGCCACGCGGGGTTCGTGTCAAAGTTTGCCCTGCTAGGGTCTTTGTTGCAAAGCGCAAAGGAGCAGCTGGACATCCGTTTGGAGCATCGTTGCCCAGAGCGATTTGGGGGCAAACAATGTGGCCAGTCATTCAAAGCTCAGCAGCAGTTGGATGAGCATCATTGTCCAGCAGTCGGTGTGGTCAACGACTTCAACCAGATTGTAAGTGCCAAGGATCAGACGGAGTACTGCTGCCATGTTGTAGCCTGGACCATGTACCATGGCACCACCCGCGCAGCAGCTGATCAAATTGAGCGTGGAGGCATCCGGGCTTCAACCGGAGGGATGCTTGGGGCTGGTGTCTATGCAATCCGCGACATCAAGAAAGCCAGAAGATAAGCGAAAGGCGTGATCTTGGAGTTAGCTGTGAACGTTGGCAGAACCAATTGTATCGCACGCCAAGGGCATGCAAGACAGAAAAATTTGGCAAGTCCAGGGGTATGACTCAGCGTGGGTTCCAGCAAATTAGATGCTGCGAGGGTACAGGTTTTGAGAGTGGGGCTGAGAGAACGCAGGCTTGCGTGCGCGTAGGCGGTAACGCAGAGGTTGCTTGAGGACTTGATTGGACTTAGCGAGCGCAGCGCAGGACTCCGCTCTTGCAGTCGTCTTGGACAATGCTTTATTCCTGTGGTCTCCTGTTGTCTGTCGCCCCCCCCTGGAAAATCATGACGCGCAAGATATCACCGCTGAATCACACCAAAGCAACTTCGTGACTCTCCACTTCCACAGAGATGACGCGCGGCTTTCGAAGTAGAGTCGTGCTTTTAGCAATCGGACTTGAGGTTACCTGCTGGGTGCGCAGTCGTGCGGATGAAAATGCTGGCAGAGGTTCTGCGATTTCAAGCGTTCACATGAGGGCAAGCGGGTGGGGTTGTTTCCGTGAGGTGGCCTCAGAGACGAGCGGGTTCACGTCCACGTGGCAATGCTTTGGTTTGGAGTTGCATTGTGACTTGGGCAAAACATGTTGCAAGAGGAGGGCTTCGCAATAGTTGTGAAGCGTGGCTATGTGTCCGTTGAAGGGGGCGCGCCTACTGGAGACTCCGGCGTGAGGCTATATATAGCGCGTCACGGCAGGATGGCGCAAAGTGTGCATTTGTGCCATGTTCCCGCCCTGCCCGTTCGACGAAGGGTGCAGGAACAAAAAGATGGGGCGCAGGATATAGGCCAGAAGAATATCAAGTGAGAAGTGGAACATACAGATGGCACATGGAAGGGGGAGGGCGCAGGAAATTCATGGGAGCAGTGGACCACAAACACGGCACACTGGACAAAAACTATAAACCAATCATCAAAGACAAAGCATACACCAAAACTGTACAGGTATTATATATCAATGAAAGGACAACGCAGGAAGCAAAGCAGGAAGGACAGCCAAGGAAGAAACACAACATGAAACAGTGGTCAGTACTGCAGCCAAAGCATTGATCACATGGAAAGCAATGGCCGTTTCCCTTTTTGTCTCATAATTGTGGGGGTGGGTGGGCACACTGAGATGGCACATGGGGGAGGTTACAGGACAGGCGATCTGAATTTTATTCATTGTTCACCGGCCATCCTTTGAGTGAACGGTATAGTATCAGGGGGGAGCAGTGGACCACAAAGATGGCACACTGGACACAAACTATCATGATCTGCAGAGACCAACCGTGAAAGACACTACAAGCACACAAACCCTACCGGTATATCAATGAAAGGTGCAGGGAAGGACAAGGCAGGAAGCGAAGCAGAGGAAAGGAGATCCCACTACAGGAAGGGCAGCCAAGGAAGGAAAAGAACATGAAACAGTGATCAGTACTAGAGCCAAAGCATTGAACGCATGGAAAACAATGGCCGTTTACATACATAGACACAAAAATAGTAATAGCAACAACAACAATGTGTGAAATATGAATATAAACCTCAACTAGATTTTCTCAAGTATTTGTCGAACGGCCGTGACAATCGATGGAGATGACATCCAAAGGTGGGGTCTAGTGACCGTGGTGACGGCAGTCCCGTGCGTTCTGTGAGTTCTCTACTTGTGAGCTGCAGCCGGGCCAAGCCCACAGTGTCAGCGGCAGGCTCACAGAGAGTACTGCTGCGGGCCGATTCATTTCACAGTTTTCTGGAAAATCAAATGCAATGGACTAATCCAAGCTGTCGGGAGTGCTTGGGTACTTGAGCAGAAAAGATGCCTGCGTGGGACTTCGGACTGTCATGATACCTTTGCATCAGTGCTTCAAAAACTTTAAAAAACAGGTCTGGCAGCGTGTGCGTTTGTGACTTTTTCCGTGCTATTGGATTGGGCACGAAAATGGCCCCCAAGGCAAGCGAGGAAATTGGAGCTCTCTGATTTTGCCAAGGCGCAGTGTGACCAGAATCGGGGTGAGCATGGGCAACTCTGATGTACTCCCATCAGTTTCAACCCTCCAGCATTCCATTGTTTGGGAACTGAGCCCGCAAAATAAGCCCCAGATTCACCCGGCAGGCGCAAGATCTGCAGATGAAAGCCAACGATCTCATGGAGAAAGCAGCGCCCATGAGTTGGGGCATCCCAGTTTTTGCCACGCTGTGGATGTCGTGCGTCCTCGCGCACTGACAAGAGGCCTCTCGGCCAAGCTGAGAATGTCAAAAGACAGATCCCAAGCTAACGCAAGTGCAGGTGGAAATTGCAGCCTAGCCTAGATGATCAATTGGTTTTGATTGTTTGTGACAGGAGAAACCCACCCAATCAGCCAAGGTAAGGAGGCCATCATCTACCAAGATGTGGCCCAACTCATGAGCAAGGAACGCAGTTGACATGTTCAGATCGTTTCGCAGCGACAGTGTTCAGACTTGATATGTGGTGCACCACGGTGAAACGAACATCTTTGCGCGCTAGTAGGTTGGAGGCCAACGCATTTTAGGTTGGAGGCCATCGCTATTACGTTGGAGGCCATTGCTAGTAGGTTGGAGGCCATTGCTAGTAGGTTGAAGGAACACCAACAAACACCTGTCAGCGCTTTACAGATCGCAGGGAGATTGCAATCACCGTGTCAAGCACGTCATTCATGCTACTTGGCTCTGTAGAGTTTGCGCTCCCATACCCCGGTGACCAGTTCTTCAACTATTTGAGGATTGAGCGATTATCAATACTCACATCAAGAGGGAACCCCTTATAAGTCAGTCTCCAATCAGTTATCCCAGGGAAATCATGTGAATTTCAACATTGGACTGACTTTGCTCCCCTGAGATTCTATCATCCTTCCAGGAGGCAGGCGCAATGAAGGCCCTTGAGGCTGGGAGTTGATCTGGGTGCAAGTTCAACAAGTCTGCATTGATGTATCATGATATATATATATATACACATACACACACACATATATATATATATATACATACACACACATTTTCTGTATCATGCAAAACAACACATTTGGGGCATGCCTTTTTCACTCCTGATGTGGGTGTGTGTAGACTCATAGAACAGGTGGGACATGCATATGAGCTGAAGCAATGAATCAAGATATGGACTGAGTTTGAGCCAACCAGAGATCCATGTGACAGAGACATATATGAATGTACACGTGGACAGCCGTAATGATAATGTTCATTGCATGTCATTATGTGAGCAGATTTTTTGGGGTGGAAAATCTTCTTCCAGGTCTTCTCAACTCGTCTCTTTGGTTTGATGTTTCTGGTATGCCTCCTGTTCACACCCAATGTGGCCCTCGCAAGTGCCGAGTCCCCACGTCCCACCGACCTCGCCACAATCACAAGCTTGATCACAGGAATTGACCCCAGGGATACAGGGCGCATGAAGGGCGCGAGCCGCCCATGTGAAACTTCAAGATTCCCTGAACGACTTTGGCAGGTTACGCCTGAGAAGCATCAAGCATGATTGGGATGAAAAAATTGTGTGTTTCTTGCTTGAACTGCAGGACTTTGGCCGTGCCAGCGAGGAATTGGTTTCGTTTGCATTTTGATAGTTGCTGGAAGGAATTTGACCCTTTGGAGAAGGTGCTGCTGGTTGCAGGGAGGTTGGAGCGTGTGCAGCAAGATGGCAGAGACCGGACGGAATAGCTTGCTTGCCACCAGCTGCTTTGGGCCAAGGCTATCACAGCCCAGTTTTTCAGCCCCGCATGGAAGGGGGACTCAGCAGTTTTGGTTTCCTGCACCCTTAAAGGCCGAGCCTAAACTGACACGGTTTCAACTACCCACCCAAGAGTTGAGGCATTGACAACTTAAGCCGTTGTGATACCTAAGGATTTGAACCTGACCGTCGGCTCTTAACATCCCAACCATTTGAGTTGGGAACGGACTTTACCATGCATTAGACGTTTTACCTACATATCCCATGAAGACGTTTGGCATTTGCTTGCGATTAGAGCCCAATTTTGTGGGGTCTTCTAGACCCAATTGCCTGAGAAGTCACGGTTTGCACGCCCTTGCCACCTGAATCGCTCTTTTCCGGGCCTGACCCGAGCAATGGGAAAGAAAGCGGCCGCGAAGAAAGGGGGCAAGGCAAGTCACATCAGTGGTGTTGACGGCTGAAATGTGTGAATTTCTGTGCAAGAACAAGCACATGACAGTCGTTGATGCTATAGGTTCTCCATATTGACAGACGTCCTTTTTGAAGTCGGCCTCTATACATCTTGACGATGAGTCCGCCCAGGAGATTGTGTTCTGCACCACAAGTGTGAAGAGCAAGAAGGTTGGCTTGTGGAACGGGGCACGGCTTTCTCTTTTAGTGAATGCAGACAAAAAGCAAGCCTTGCCGGGCCCTGCATGTTGTTGAGACAAGCTCAATAAGCCAGCTTCTCGCACTCTTATCCAATACAGCTTCCACTGCTTTGTGCGGCGTTCAATCGAGCTTTGACCGCCCAGCTTGCACACTCTGACATTGGTTTTCAGTTAATCTATTCCCACGTGGAAGAAAGGCGGTAGAACCGAAAGGTGAAGCGTCCAAAAAGTTGAAGGTGTTTGAACAACTGTTTCTCTCATCTGCGGAAAACTGCGGTGGCAAGCTGCAAAACAAAGTGCTCACAAAACGCGCGACTCAGCTGCAACAACGCGGTAGAAAAGGTTTGTGGGAGGTATCGCGAGCAAACTACCATGGTAACAAAAGACAGCGGCCGAGGGGAACAAGTGGAGTCAATGTGTTTGGTCGCAGGTACAGGATCAAGCGCCCTTGATCCCTTCCCATCTGTGGTCGTAGCTTCGTTGCGCGCAGTGGACCACGGATGCTGCATGGAATGAACGCATATTCCCCTGCTTGAAGTAAAAAATCAAAACCGTACGGTGGAAACCCTTCGGCACAGGGGTTGACACACACACACACACACGTGGCCGTCATCGGCGCACGTGTGATTTTTCGCAAAAAGCGCTGACAATTTTTTGGATTGTGCCCCTTTAGGACGTATAGTCTGACTAGTTGAGGACAAGTTTAAATTGAGTTTGAAACGTAACGTGCCTGATCTCAAAGTGACCGTTGTGGAAAACGTGTGACTGTACACTCTTGAAATTGAAAGTAGGCTGCAAGCATGAATCTGAGCAGTTCTTCCCGTGAAAGCCCGGCGGCTTGTGATTCAGGCAATCCAGTGGTGACACTAAGGCTGTTAAGAAAATCCGAGGTATGGTGGAAACGGTGAAAGCAGTTACACGAATTCCGGAATGAGAACGGCGTCTCCTTGCGGAGGATCACACCCAGCACCCAAGTGGGACGACTGAGCGAGTCACACTCTGACATTGGTTTTCAGTTAATCTATTCCCACGTGGAAGAAAGGCGGTAGAACCGAAAGGTGAAGCGTCCAAAAAGTTGAAGGTGTTTGAACAACTGTTTCTCTCATCTGCGGAAAACTGCGGTGGCAAGCTGCAAAGCAAAGTGCTCACACAACGCGTGACTCAGCTGCAACAACGCGGTAGAAAAGGTTTGTGGGATACCTGAGCAAACTACCATGGAAACAAAAGACAGCGGCCGAGGGGAACAAGTGGAGTCAAAGTGTTTGGTCGAGGTACAGGATCAAGCGTCCTTGATCCCTTCCCATCTGTGGTCGTAGCTTCGTTGCGTGCAGTGGACCACAGATGCTGCACGGAATGAACGAATATTCCCCTGCTTGAAGTAAAAAATCAAAACCGTACGGTGGAAACCGTTCGGCACAGGGGTTGACACACACACACACACACGCACACTGGCATGTTGCATATCACCTTTCAGTGCCGCTCCTTTTGTTCCAAGTCGCCTCAAAAGCTTTGATTTGCAAAGTTTTCCAGGAGGTGGAGCGGGAAGCTGAAGCTCAAAAAGCTGCTGAGGAGGCGGCGGCAGCACAGGAGGAAGAAGCGGCGGCTCCCACTGTCACAGCAGCTTCAGAGCGACCCAGCTCACGAGCGGAGGAAGAGGAGGAGCTGAACAAAGATCTATCGATTCTATCCGTGTGTATAAGGGCCCATTCTGCATAAAGGCTCCAGGCTCATTGTGAAGAGAGACAGCTTGACACAGTGTGTGGAGGCCGTCGCTATCCAATTAGGTTTAAATATGTTTAAATTCGGTTGACAAAGTCCACTCCGGTGAAGCTGACATCACTGCAGGACCTGGAGGACTGGGAGCGTTTGGATCTCCCAGACTCCCCGGTGACGCCGGTAAGGCCCAGCACTCCAGCTGAGCCGGAGGTGGTGGAGGAGGAGTTGCAGGAGGAGGAGATGGCGCGCTTTGTTGGATGAAGATAGATGATGTTTGGAGTAAATACTTTCCAACATCATAACACCGTAAATCTTCAAAGCACCTCAAACCAATTGAAACAACACCGAGCTTCAAACACTGCTTTGGCGGTGGTAGACTTGAATTGGATTGGGGGGAACTGATTTGATCTGATAAATAAATCGTAATCTAGGGTGCGGGAATATTCCATGATGTTGCAGCGCAGACTGTGGAAATAGACTGGTGTATCATAGACAAACACAAACATATCTGATCATATTGGTCAAAAGCATGCAGTACTCCTACTCAATTGGTGGGTTCGACTGCCCTAGGACTGGGATCAGCTTGTGGACGCTAGACTGAAGGATGAGCTACAGAAGCTCGAGAGGCCACAGAAAGAATTTGTTTATGCTTCTGGAGAAGACGATTCAAGAACCGATTCAAGAACCACGGTTGGATTTCAAGGGAGGCTTTGGATCAGGTGGAAATATGGTGGAATAGCCAACATACATGTTGCATACCCAAGCATGAGGATCTAGACAAGATTGTGGTGCCATACGTCTTGCCGAATAGCACTTAGCTTGTGAATCATGTTTGCGCTTGCCATTTTTGCAGGAAGGTGAATGCAGCCGAAGTCTTGGCAAACGCCAATCTGGAGAGACGAGGCAAGTCTGTTCTTTGAGCCCTCGCACGAGGTAACCATTGACAAAAGAGAACCGGACAGAGAATACTAGGAGCAAGGACGCTACTAGGGGCTCCTGGCCTTACTACTAGGAGCAAGGACGCTACTAGGAACAAATAGTCGTCCCCAAAGAACACAGATGGTTCTGTTGACCCGAGTTGTTGGACATTCCGAGTTGCTCTTCTTTTTGGAGCAAATGGAACGACGTCTACCACACACATTCGACAGCAACTGCATCAACTCTTCCCGAGATACGGCACGACCATTCAAAGGGGGACAAACCATGACAAATCTTTGGGACAATAAATTGATGGCTCTTTCTTTGATTTCTTCGTGTCATCAGGTGGATATCCTCCTGCGGGAGTTGTTGTGCTGAACAAGGTTGCAGAGCAGAAGGTGCCACTTGCAGCGCCCAAAATCTGTGCTTGTGAAAACGTTGTGTTTCCCTTGCACCACCGTGATGCCCACTGCTGCGAAATGAAGCTGCTTGAAGTCGTGCCCTTTGAAGCGTGTTTGAGGGCTCATGCCTGAAAAATACCTGCAATACCGGCAATACCTGGTTTTGGCCAGCAAGAGTCTCACCTCGAAGCTCGCCAACCGAAAATGGTTTTGCCAGGTGGAAGCTGCACTTGCACCTCTGAGGGATGGAGAGGGCTTTCTAAAGCCCATCCTCCCCAGACACTGGCGCTTCAAGGCGCAGAGGGTCAGAGTTGGTAAACTCATTGGATATATCGTCTTCTTTTCTTTATATCAGTAGTATCTCTATCTCTCTCTCTCTATATATATATATGTAACATATTTTCAGAGATGATTAGGCAAAAGCCACAACAAGCTTTGCAGCAACCTGGAGTTTCAGACGGAGTCTCCATAGAGAGAGGGAGAGAGAGAGGGATGGACAACTTTGCAGCCGCTTATGCCACCGGCCTTCTGTGGCACGCCGAGGGTTGAAGAGGTTTGGCTTCGTGTGAACTAGCACAGAGTGCATTGGACATGAGCGCAAAAAAGAGAGAAGTGTTTGAAGACTTTAGAGAGAGAGAGAGAGAGAGACAGAGAGAGAGAGGGAGGGAGGGAGGGAGGGAGAGAGAGGGAGGGAGGGAGGGAGGGAGAGAGAGGGAGAACAAGGTCTTCCCAGTGTTTGAGTGTGTTGACAGACAGAAGAATGTCCAAGTGTGTTCGTAGTTCGGTAGTTGGCGCTGTCAGGGCAAGTTGACCTGGGAACGCCTCAGCTCCATCTACACAACCTTGGAGGTGCTCGGGACGTGGACAGTGGGACCTGTAGAAACACATCAGGAGCAACCTGCTCCGATGGCCCTCAAGGTGAGTTGATCAGCTTTTAGAATCCTGCACAGTAGCCTAAACCCAAACGATTCAATTGCAACACGTGCCGGCCATTCTGAGTCTGAAGGAAGCGCCAAAGCAATGCATTCCCAGTGTGCTGAGTGTCATTCTTTGCTTTTGAAATGAGCAAGTTAGTTCCGAGGAATATGTAGTGCAATTTAAGCTAGCAACTAAGGAAGCTCTCATGGTAGTGACCCGTTGCTACAGATGGATTATGGCATGGGCTGGGGCTTCTATTTTGGTTTCCAAGACAAGATCAGAGAGGAAGAGAACAAGGTCAAAACACACTAAGAGCCCGTCAAGCTGTTGTTGCTACTGGCTTCGGTGGGGTTGTGGTTGTGGTTGTTGTTGTTGTTGCTGTTGTGGTTGTGGTTGTGGTAGTCTCAGTCGCAGTGGTGGTAGTGGCAGGTGCTTGTATTTTGTTGTTTTGTGTCTTCTTGAGTCTTTTTCATGGAGGCATTGAACTTCAAGGGTGACCAAATCCGCTTGGCGATGGGTAAGACCGGCGGCTATGATGCACGAGCTCCGCTGGAGTGGTTGCTAGTGAACTTGCCAAAGCAGGAGCCCTGAGGTGTTGAGTTTACCATGTGGAAGTTCACAGTGGAGAGTGGTCATGATGAACATTGTTTGAACACGTGAAACACAGGCATCGACTGCTAGAATAGCAAGGTTCCTGTGGAATGAGCCATCACAGGATGGTCCAGTTCCAAGACAGCTGCTGACAGCCCTCATCTTCATCACAGGAGCTCCCACGCTATTTTGGTGGCGACTCCGTCGGAGACCTTCCGAACACTGAGGAGGAAGGCCTGGACCGCTTTGTCGGACTGCGAACACATTTGATTCGAACATGTCCGCTCACTGTCCAGTACGAGCACAAGAGGTTTGTTGAACATGACCTTCAGGGGGTTCAGCTAGCGACTAGCTGTCTGAACACAATTTTGGTGAGAATATTTGCTTTTATCTGGACATGTTTGGCCAATAGCTGTCTGCTGTGTTTGCTGCTTCAACGGTTCAACCCGTCAATTCCTCTGGAGGCTATGGGAAATAAGAATTCAATTGCCAGGCTAAACATTTACGTGCGTGAATAATACTTGACATGCTTCAGTTGCATGAGAGAGATGACCAGAAATGGCAGGTTCGACCCTCAGTGATTTGGTGGAAGCTCCCTTTGGTCCGGCGCAGCTTCAAATGGACGTGGTAGAGGAGATGTGCTAGACTTCAGCTTTATGGCTACTTTGATCTCTTGCAGGGGCTGGGTGAGAGGGTGTGTAGGCACATTGCATACATCGCATTGTGTTGAGAGGTTGAGGGTGCCTTCCATTTCAGAGGTTTTGAAGGATGGCTTGCAAGGGTCCGTGATGAATCCCTTGGTTGCAAAAATCCGCCGAAGCATCAGAATCAGAGCTAGGAGTTCCCCGACCCCTCAAAAGAAGAAGCCAAAGGAATCATTTTGAAAAGATCTAGAATCTACGTAGAACGCGGAAGTAAATGGAAGATATTATGATTCAGAATACATTGGTTCACAAAAACCTCGACTTTTGAGTTCATGATTCCGGGAAAACATGGAAAGGATAACCAGGTCCCCATCAGTTAAATGCAAAAGGATATGACAGAAACTCAAAAGGAACAGGATTGCCAAGGTGCTTCACTGCAAGGAGCACCGTAGTAGACATTACTTATCTATCTATATACTGTTTCATCGCGGTCTTTGGCCACCGACTTGGGATGTGCAGCTAAGACTTTGGACTGGTGGATTCGGGTCAAAGGAGAAAACAAGATCAACAAAGGCTCTATTGATTTTCCGACACAACCTGACATCAAGACCATTCAACTAGAATCAAGCCAGTGAGAATCTGTTCGTAGCAAGTTCTCAAATGAGTAGCTGGTGGGTCTACCAATGATACCGTTCGCCTATCAGATGCTACAACTTTGGAAAAGAGCACATGCGTGGAATCGAAGTTTCTTTTCTCTCTTCATAAGCCATCCACATAATTTGCTACGCGTTGTTTCTGACGAAGACCTGACATGCGGGTTGCCAATCCAGACGTGATGGCAGGCCAATATGGAAGCATCCGCTCTGCATTTATTTTTTCCTGCTTGGCGGCCGTTTGTTCACAGATATTTGTTTGGAACTGCTCCTAGTTCAGTGGGGCTCAGCCACTGGCCTGCTTTGACGCGCAAGCCTGAAAGTGGCCAGGAGGCAGAAGAAGCCAAAGCAGGCAGGGCCGCCAGCGGGGAAGTGGTGTGCATGGTTGAGTGAAGAGGGCTTGGCCGGGCTTGGCCGTGCCTGCCGTGGCTCAGCTGCTTAATGTGTTTGCCATCGCATGTTGCGGAGTTCACACCTTGAGGTGTGGATGACAAACTCGACGTGGACAAGGAGCTCCCGCAGCCAGTCGCCAAACAGGTCCGGTCTGCCAGCGGGAAGTTTGCGTGCTGTAAGCCGAATCCGTACTGCCAACAGGCGCCGGCTTTTCAATTGGCCATGCCACCTAAATGGTTCCGGGCTGGTGTTTTAAGCGCAAGTCGTGGATGTTGGACAAGGCGTTCACTTGAGGGACATCTCAGGGCCACCTGTGTCCCGAGTAGGCATCAAAGTACCTTGTGGACTTCCCAAAGCGATGAAGCCGTCGATCATGTCCTGCCAAACATTCAGGATGGTAAACGTCCGGCTTGTGACAAGGAAGTGGGGAAGGACTGCGTGACTGCTTAGGGCCTAGTCATTTGTTTGGTTCTTTGTTGGACACATGTTTTACATCAAATGTGAATATGTATTTTTTTTTCTGATCAGCGTGTGGTAGACGGTTATATAGTTATCATCATTGCCAAACAATCAGATGAAAGGACACCATTTTACACGTGTCCCTCCAAAAATGGTCTTTGGGCAACTGTGCATGTCAAAACACGTCTTCTGAAAACGTTGTCCTTTGGGGGGGGCTTTGCTGGGTACTGCGGCCCCGGGTTATGTTTGAAGTGATCTGGGGTCGCTGTCACTGTGGCAATGTGGAGTAGTGCTAGTCAGCATGTCTTGCCCGACACACAACATTCGTTTCGTATTGTTTCGATTTTTGTGCTGAGTCAGACTCATTTCTTTTCAAAGTTTTAGTACATAATTCTGTGGTCATGTTCCAGTCAATCATCAGCACACGCTGGGACGGGGGGGGGTGTTGCTTGACCTAAATCAATCACTGCAGGAATTTGCCCGGCGATACATGGAGCAATATGAGGATGGGGAGCTGAAGTTGAGTTGCGAACAGTTGAGTGAGAAGGGTGTTCATGACCACTTTCAAGAAAATAACTGCTAGGATGGTTTTGTTTCGTTTTTTGTGCTGGATTTCTTTTCATATGTAGTTGCAGCAAAGTATCACTATGTATCAATCAGGTGATTTGAGCCAAACAGGCACCCCGCCTTCAACTCAATGGCGAGACCGCGGGTTGCATGGTACATCATTATCGGTCAGGCTCCCCAAGGAAAGGCATTTACTACAAATTTTCGAGAGTGCCGACTCTCGATGGTGTTTTCAAGTGGAGATGCAAGAGAGCTGAGTGCCAGGAGGAGGATGAAGAAGATGCCCTCCTTAGCCCAGAAGAGATTCTGGAACGAGAGAGGAAGAAGGATCCAACAGCGAGGCTTTTGCTCTCATGTGTTTTCTTGAGGAATTATTTTTTAGACCTTCAGCACCGGTGTATGATATTGGCATTTGTGCAAAGCCCTTGGTGTAGGGCCCAAAGTGTGCATCATCGATTGCAGCTGCCAGGTATATCAAAGTATCGTTGCAGTTTGAAGAGTCCAGCAAAATCCTGAAGGCTGGACATCACCATAGTTTTCCTGTGGTTTGGGTTTGACTCACACAAACTGAGGCCTGGAAGAACTGATTTATTATAAGATAAAACTAGAGCAGAACAGATTACACAAACGGAGGTAAGGTCCCCTTTAATGAGGCCTCTATCTGCCTTTATATTTTTCCTTGGATTATTTTCCATGGTATTTCTATTGAACAGTGTTTGGCAAACTCAATTCACAAGCGGGCTCCTTAGCCTGCGGAGATACTTACAACTTGCTCTCTAGTTCTTTCCCCTTCGGGTTTTGGATAGCGATCGTCTGGGATGATACTTCCAAAGTTGCCACATCATCTATATTGTTCCTAGCATTAGGGATGGGCATGATACGATGAATTCTTGCGTGATTTGGTTTGGACAAGGAGTCCTGGACAACACCTTTTCTGCCAGGGTCCCTCCATCCTTTTTGCAGGCTTTGAAAGAGAAAAGACGGCATGGTGCCTTCAAGCAGCTTGACCAGCAGCCAATGTTTTTGGATTTCAACTGCAGGACAGGAGGTCTCGGAAAGTTGGAATGCAGCTATAACAGGCAGAATTTTGACCGCACCATGACGGATAATGTTTGTTTCCTGAGGCAGAACATCAGTGCTGATCAGAACAAGCAAAGGGAGAACACCAACAAGTTGCTCGGCAGAGTTTGCTACATGCTCACGGTAGCTGGGTGAGTCAGATATCACTCTAGAACACCTGACATGCGCGACAAGTCTGCACTGGGGCATTAAATATCCCAGTTTATCCACCAAAGCTCTTCGCATCGTTTCTAATTCTTTCCCTGAGCCATTGCTTTCGATCTCAACTTCCTGCGGAACCTGAACGATGCAAAGGTCCGAGATGATCAAAGTCTTTCCAAAGTCGCTTTGGCCTTGTGAAGCCTTGTTGCTATTGGTTCAAGGCCCTGTACCCCTGACTAGTCTCCGGCCTTTTTCTCCAGCCTTCGGCGACCAGTGAGGTTTCAGAGCTGCAAGGCTGAGATGGAGCTGTTGGAATCCGGGAAGTATGGGCCCCTGGATCAGGACTGCGGACTGGATCAGTATGATACCCAGCAGACTGCTTGGTTGGACATCACCAAAGTAAAAGTTTAGGGATCCTGGCACACGAGGAGGCACCAAGATAGACCACAGCATACATGTATATAAATCCAATCAGTCCAATCAAGCTGAAGGGCTGCATCTTTTGCTCCAAAGACATGTTCCAACCCTTTGGCATGTCTGGCGACTATCGACAAATCTTGCGTTGCAGGCATTGCAGTATTGTCCCAAGCAGGCACATGCTTTGACAGATTTTGATTGAGCACTTTGTGATCAGGAGCGCATTGCAAAGGCAAAGCCTCGCAAAGCTCCCAAGGAGGAGGAGAGAGAGAAACCAGCGAAGGAGGAGAAGGAGAAGGCGAAGCAGGGTAGGATGGGAAGTGCAGCATTTGTATACTTACTGTATGATTTGTATGCATATATATATATACACATATTGTCCGTATCTATATACACACCCCTCAGTCACAGTCCATAGATCCAAAGAGGACAGAGGCAAGTTCCACAAGACAAAGTTTGCATGCCATTTGTTCCCTTTTCTGTATGCCAACGCCAAAGATTCAGGAAGAGAAGGAGGAAGCAAAAGAGACAGAGGAGGATTTCTCTGAGCTCAGCCCAGCCCGAGTTTGCCTTTTGAAACTTACTCAAGCAACCCCATGTTGCCCATCTTGAGGCAAAACTTCGAGCTGTCAAACGAGGTTTTGTTTAAAAACAAAGGGATAGATACTATTAGGTACTCTAAAACATACGATCTGCCAAAGTAACTGCGCCACCTTCTCACAACGAGACTCATGTCTGCAGTTCGCGATGTAGTGGTGAGGCCGGTGTTAGCCTTGCTTGACACAATCTTCCCAAGGCTTGCTATACTAACCTGAGGAATTGCTACATGTAGACGCATTGACTCCAGCCTGCTCTTAGGCTTTCTTCTTTTGTTTTACTTCGTGTACCAGCCATTGTTCCTTCATTTGGAGGATTCAATGCTGCCCTCTCTGTTCGATGAGGCCGTCCGATGCCGGACATCGAACGGTTTCCGTCCGGGAGTGACTTGCTTGCGGGGACTGCGGACAAGTCCCGTAGGACGGAGACTCTGTAATGAATCTCGCAGGCTCACCTCCCCCTGTTTTTCGTGTAATCATTCTTAGGCCCTTGTATTATCTTGTATTCTGTTCTGTTTGGAACCTTGTTTGCTTCGCATCCTTCTCTTTTGTGTAACGGCTTCCCTTTTTGAAGGCCGAAGGCCTGGAGTCCGTTGAGTCCCACAGCGCGGAACGGCCGAAAGCGCGGCGCTCCTACAGCCTGGCGGGCTGGACCGGGCGAAAGCCCAAGGAGGCCAGTGGGTGGCCGGAGGTTGTCAGAGCTGCCGGTTTTCTATTCGTTTTGACCTGAAAATGCATGGAGTGAGCAATCATTCAGGTGGACATAGGAACTTGAGGTACGATTTCCGTTGATCTTGATTTGGGCCACTTCCTGTACTGGTGTCCGTGACCCGCATATACCCTTTTGCTTGTGAATTTTCTAGATGCTTTCTACAGTTCAAGAGAGGCCAAGACTCGGGACAATAAAACGCGTCTCCAAACGAGGCATTGGAAGACTTCGGCAGGAACAAGTGGGGCAAGAAGAAGGCTGTGAAGACCGGATGCTGTTTAGAAACTGTACGGCAGATGAACAATATCAAGCCCCGACATTCACCTTCACACTTTTTGAGATATGTAGTCACAACATGTCACAACGCACTTTTCCATTTTCTAAGATACGAAGACAGACATTGTCGCTGCTGTGTTGGGCAATTGATTTGCTTCCAGCATCAGGACTGACTGAAACACCGCACAGCTATTTGCTAGGTGGGAATTCACCGGAGGCTAGTCAACACAGTGGTTTCGACTGATATATATATATATACACATACACATATATAACCTCGCTCGTCGGACGGTCTGCGTCGACGGTATGGTAGACACTCAGGTCTATCCATACACTGGAACCCCTCATACACAGGTGACATACACACATATATATACATATATACACACATATACATACATATATATATATACACATACACACACACACACATATATATATATATATACATAACGGTGAAGGAGACAGAATCACCTTATGTCAGGATGGACTGCCTTATGCCAAGTACAGTAAGCTCTCAGGCCGGGCCGGGTGCTACTTGTACCACGAGTGTTTTGTGAACGCATTAGCTTTGACCACGTCCCATTTGGTCACACGCTGTGCTTCTGAAGCCTGAGGCGCCGGCGGCTTCCGCGTGCGGGTCACCGTGCAGTTGCCCAAGAACGAGCGGCGGCGGTTTGACCCCGAGGAGCCACGCATCACATTTCTGGTCAGGGCGGTGTGTAGGGCCTTGGATTACTCAGACTGATGCGGAGATACTTGGTGGGTGAGAAGCAAATCCAGGCTAGTGGAAAGAACTGATGTGGTTTCAAGTCAATCTTGGTATTACAAAAAAGGTTGGTCGGCAACCGTTTTATTTGGGTTTTGCGATCTTCCTACCTTGAGCTGTTGAGATTCTTCGATGCCTTTCGGCTGTTCACTTGAGGAGCTCTGCGAGAGCAAGGAGGAGGCAGAGCACCTGGCAGCGACATTGGCGCTGATGAAACTCTCCCAGGTGCGGGGTTCTTAAATAATTTGATTCCAGGCTCAACTGTTTTAGCAAGTTTTGTGAACAAATCTCATAGCTGTAATCTGACATAGGGTTCAAACAAATTTGAACATCGGCCAGTCCACAGATCTATGGATTTTGCCACGGCCAGTCATTTCAATCACTGGCAGGACTCAGAGAAGCCAGGTCTGCAACGGGGTTTGCCTCCTGTCTATCGGCAGCGGTGGCAAGAGTGGGATCAAGAGCTATTGGCCGACTTGCAGGATGATGCATGCAATGCTCCAGAAAGTGCAACCTCTTGGCAAATTCACAGCCGATTTTAAGCGAGCCGAGCATGCTTTCAAAAGTGCCTGGTCTTGCATGTCATTGTTCCTAACTACGTACAAAGATTACTTGGATTGAAGTGTTCGATCAACATACTTGGCGATTGCTGGAAGAGGCATATATATATATATATATAGAGATTTTGTTTGAACATGGCAGAGTGGCAGGAGCGGAAGAAGACTTTAGTAAAGGACAAGATCCTTTTCTTGGAACGTCTTCTCCGAACTAAGCCGGACACCAAGCCCGTCTCTGAAGTTCTTGTCCAGCTCAGGAGATACAATGCTGCTCCAACTGGCCATGAGTCTTGTACGGGTGTGGTATATATAAATCCTGGTCGAACACGCGCATGTCACCATTTCGCATCTCTACATCTACTCACTCGTTGGCTCCCCGCCCGGTGAGTCCGGTGAGCAGAAAGGGCACGATGACCTGGAAAGGCCGCGATCAGGGACTGGTGACTAGGCTCACAAGCTGAAAGAAAGGGGTACAACGGACGTAGGCACGTTGGCCATGGACGCATTCTGCTTTGACTCGCAGAATTAGAGTCTAATACCACGATCAAATCGTAAGGGTTGGAACTTGGATGTCAAACCTTGTCAAGGCCTGCAATGCTTCAAAGCACTCTGGGCCTAGGCGGCCTTGCTTTGGATTTTGCTGACAAGTCATGTTGATTTGAATTCTAGACATGGATAGAAATACCAGTTCTGATCTGCTGAGAGGCAGCGTCGAGACCTCTCAGTCTCTATCCGGTCCCCGAGGCCACAATGCGAAGCTTGTGCAGCGAAGCTTCTGTTCTTTTGGTTTCTGTTGAACACCAGCTGTCCAGCCACGTTTGGCGACCAAGAGGCCAACATCGAACGCCAGGCGAGGATGAACTTGCGCTGCAAGAGATGAATGCCGAGGCGGCGGAAAGGCCCGGTTTCAGGAGCCACCCAGGGCCAAGCAACAAGGTTCGCTACTAGGAACAAGTGCATCGCTTCTAGTAACAAGTGCCTTATATACTAGTAGTAACAAGAAGCTACTAGGGGCTCCTGGCCCTACTACTAGGAGCAAGGACGCTACTAGGGGCTCCTGGCATCGCTAATAGTAGCATTCTTACTACTAGTAACGAGGAGCCACCCAGGGCCAAGCAAGAGCTCACCTCACCAACAGAACCTCAAGAGCCGCTTCTCTGGCTAGGCTGCGGCGGAGCTACCGTGAACGGCAGCAGTCGCTGGAGGAGGATGCTCAGTTTGATGAGCGGGAGCCCCAACTTGCTCAGCAGTGCCCTTCCCTGCTTGTCTTTCTTTCCTTCCTTCCGTCCTTCCGGCAGCAGCAGCTCTCTAACCATTTCCCAGCTTGCATGAGTCAATGAGGCTCCAACAACTGCGCCAGCGGCTGCCCGTGGCCGAATTCAAGGAGCAGTTCCTCCGGGCAGTGCCGTGGCCCAGCAATGTCTTTTCAAGCGGAACTGGAATTCTGCAGATATATAGCTTTTGAAAAGGCCTGTGATGGATCATCCCATCAAAATTGAATCAGGGATTGTTTTGCAACCTCATGACTTGGGCATCTAGAAGGGTCGACACCACCCTACTCTTGACGTCTTGACGGATCGGATATATACCACACGACTCTCTGGAGAAAGCCCAGAATCCTCTGCGATAGGTCTCAAGCCAGGGCGTAGCGTGGCACCTCAGAGTGAGAACGGTCAGCCTGGTTTCTTGTGGGTGCTGAGAAAGGCAAAGCAATTCTGCTGAGCATAGCTCAGAGGGTTTTATGTTCCATGCAGAAAATTTGTCGTTTGGACATAGCTGGTTACATTGAGCTACAGCAACACTGCTGACTGGAAATCTGCTGCATGTATTCAAAATTGACATATCATCATTGGTCTCTCGTCTGTCAACCATTCCACCATGGGAATTAATAGAAATTGCATGGACGCTCCTAGTAGCGATGCCCTTTGTTCCTAGTAGCTTCTTGCTCCTAGTAGTGAGGCCAGGAGCCCCTAGTAGCGTCCTTGCTCCTAGTAGCGATGCCAGGAGCCCCTAGTAGCTTCTTGTTCCAAGTAGCATGTTATGCACTTCGAAAGTTGGACCTTCTTCGCTGTGTTAGCCAACTCAGCTTGACCGAGGTGGTGGTAAGTGGAGCGACTGGCAGTGGAAAAACCACCCAGGCGATGTGTGGGGCGTGAGGCCAACCTCAGACCGGTCACAGGAGGATCTCCTGGAGGTCTCTGCAGAGTCTCTGGAGCTCCGAAGAGGTCACTTTCAGGTTTGCCACTGACTGATCTGACTGCATGCAGGTGCCGCAGTACGTCCTGGAAGATGCGTTGGAAGGTTCTGGACCGCTTGGATGCCCATGTCTTCAAGCGATGGCTACTAGTAGCGTCCTTGCTACTAGTAGCGATGCCAGGAGCTACTAGTAGCTTCTCGTTACTAGTAGCGTCCTTGGATGAAGTTCTGAAGGGGTTGTTCATTCGGGTAGAATGACCTGAAGGACTCGTGAGGTGAACACCAAACCCCTTGGCGCTTTGCACTGGACCCCGGACTGATCCAGCGCATCATGGCGCATCATTGGTGCCACGATGATAGATCGTTGTGCAACACTTTCGGGAGTTCTCCCTCTCAACCTTGAAGCGTCGCTATGGCTGAACAGAAAGAGCACTGTCCCGTTTCAATGTCGTATCCTTCTCGGTTTTTGTGTTTTTGAAACATAGAACCGTTTCTTTGCTTGCCACACTGACTGAATGTCTTGATGGGCATGTTCCTGACCCGGTGGGAGATGTGGCCTTTTTCGGAGGACTGCCCTGAGAGACATGTAACAAGAAGCTACTAGTAACAAGGGGCATCGCTACAAGGAGCAAGTAGCTACTAGTAACAAGAAGCTACTAGGCTCCCCAACATCATCGTCACCGAGCCCCGGCGGATCTCGGCCGTTTGGGGCGCTCAGCTTCACTGGAGGCTTCGCTGTTTGGGGTGAATTGCTCAGAGGTTACTCAGTACTTATACTATACTTGTAGACTTGGACATACTTTGGTGATTTTAGATTTAGTTTAAAGGAAACAACACCTTTTACTTGAAGATATTCTTGGTGCACGGCTTTGATATTTGCCAGCTTCTTTCTTGCATGTTTGTATCTGAACAGTGTACTCTGGACTAGGTGGAGGCCTGGTTTTGGCGGACCTGAGCAGGCCCAAATCTCCCAAATCAGGCCCCAAGGATCTTCAAGAAAGGACCGATGTCTTAGACACCCGCAGCCGCCGTAGCCTTTCTTGGCAAAGCAAGCGGAACCGCCCACCGCAGTTTCAGCTCACGTTCTGCAGTTCCACCTGCCCCAGTGCCTTCCTGCTGCGCTGTGGGCAGTTCCATGAGCATGAGGCGCGAGGACAGGGAAGTGCAGGTTGCGTTGCACACAACCTGTCTTTTGACAACAGCAGAGTGTGTCCAGCGGACTTGGTAATTGAAGCCTTTTGCTTGAGCATGACGAGCCTGAGCTTTTGACAGGTGTCATTGAAAGGCCCGCCATGGTTCAATGCCAGAGGTGCGAATTGTGGACATTTTTTTACAGATTTTTTTTTAAAACAAATTGGATCGCTTTGAAGACCAAGGTCAATTGCCCCCTAGAGACACACTTATGGATATGCATACGGAACGGAAAGCGGTGCCACACGCC